GAATAATACCATACAAACAAAATCCCAACCCTATACACCATGAAATCAACAACAACGCAGTCAGAGTTTTAGAGCCACTCCCCAATCCAATAACTCTGTTCCTCTCTCTCACACACCTTGCTATCACTCCCTGCCTGCTCCCGATTCCCTAGGTTGTTTCTCCACCTCTTTCGCTATTCAGGCCCCTTCTACTCAGTTGCTCGACCTTTGAGCACTCTTGACACCGCCACCGGCTTCATCTCCCTCCTCCTAGAAAGAGATCAAATCACCCTGGCCACCCTGCTGTTGCCTTTGCTGTTGCTGACCACCCGCCGCAAATGGGTTGCTGCTACCCATCTGCTGCTGCTGATATCCCCCGTTCATGCCGCCGTAACCCATGTTCATGCCCATACCGGCCGGCCCCGTCGCCGCAGGCATCTGCTGACCTCCGTACGATACCGTCGGCAAGCCCGTGAACTGCTGCTTCAAGAAAGGGTTGTTACCCGTCGCCTCGGTCGTGATCTTATTCAGGCCAGCACCTGCACTGTTGACAAACGTTCCAGGGGCGGTATGTTGCGCCGGAATACGGAGATTACCCGTGTTGCCGAACGTGTCCATGCCCTCTCCGCTGGCAAGCAGGGCGTTAAGCTTCTGCTCGTGCTCGCTGAGTTCTCGCTGGGGCTGCTGCGGTTGCTGTTGAAACTGAGGTTGTTGCTGCTGGGGCTGCTGCTGTTGCTGGGACTGGGAGCCAAAGGTATTAAAGGGCGAATTAGAGGAAGTGACGGAGATCTGGGGGAAGGATGATAGCGTCTTTTGCTCGGGGAGGCTGCTCAATGCCGGCATCGATGGCGCCTTGTACGGTGACTTCTGCGCGAATGGGTTGTTCGATCCTGTCGGCATTGGCTTGATGGCTGACTGCTGGTTGTTGTTATTGTTGCTAGCCCAAGGGTTGTTACTACCGGGCTGCAACGTCGACGAGGAGTTGTCGAATTGGGGCTGCTGTTGCTGCTGGTTCGCGTATGGGTTGTAGCCCGTTGGCTGGGCCATGAAACCTTGGGGCTGTTGCTGCTGCTGTTGTTGACCGTAAGGATCGTAGATGCCGGTAGGCTGGGGCTGGAAGCCGTTCTGGAAGCCGTTCTGGTATCCCGTCTGCTGATATCCCATTGGTTGCTGCCCGTACCCGGTGAATGCATTGTTCATGTAAGCAGTTTGTTGAGCCTGCAGCTGGTTCTGATCAAGTGGGTTAGCAAAGAAATCCACCGCACTGCCTTGCTGATAGCCTTGGTTGAAACCGGTGAACTGAGGCTGGGTCGTCTGCGCTGGGGTATCATCAAACAAAGCCGCGGCATTCGTCTCCTCGAGCTCCCGTCGCCTTCGCTCCTCCTCTTCCTTGCTGAGCTTGATGGCTTTGGCGAGATCATCGTCGTCCACCTCGGCGAGAGCCCTCTCACGTCGCTTCCTGTCCTCCTCCTCTTGGTGTTTGCTCGCTTCGATCGCCAACTTGTACTCTGCATCGTCCTCGTCGGCATACTGTGCTCTATGCTGCCGGGGGCGGGGACGCGACGGTTCGGCGTGGTGCTGGGGCATTTCCTCCCCGTACTGCATACGCGATTTCCAGGCTCTTCGGTCAGTACGCTCCTCGCGCAACCTCTCCTCGTCCAGGAGCAGCGCAGTAAGATCCTTGGCGGCGACACGGACTGGTAGTAGAACGTCAGCATACTGAAAATAAGCCCTCGAATTGGCGTGGGTTCCCTACCGTTGTTTCCAACATCCTTGCCCTCCTCGTCAATGTATTGGAACTCGCGCAGTGTCTTGATGATAAAGATGTTCTGCTTGGCCCACGTCACCACCATCTCGGATCCCTCGTGCAAAATGTAGTCCATAACCTTCAATGCCTTCAGGACGTGACGCCAGTTCTTGCCCTTATCGTTCAGTCGCTTGTCGAGCATGTCCATGATTTCGTAGAACTCGGTGCTTCTGCAGTTGGTACAACAAGTCATTAACGGGAACTCGGTGTAGTCGCTTGAGGAACTCGAGACGGTGAACTTACGTGCCGTACGTCATCTGGGCGATTTGCCCCATCTGGGTTCCTGTAGGTCCCCATGGGTCGTTACTTGTCGCTATAATCGATCAAAGGCGTCAATGTCAGTCAAGCCATGTCTCCAAACGAGGTGATGATGTGTGGCTGTCGGCCAGCGAGCCAGTTGGAAGCGCACAATGCCAAGGACGACATGGCATCACACGCAGCGGGAGAAGCGCAGTGGGTGGAAGAAGGATAGAGGCAGTAGCGACAGCAGAAAGAGAGCGAGGAATGACCCACCATCGCGCACTTTGACCTGGGCGGCCGAGTAACCCTTTGTGACGTTTTTGACGCTGCGAATTACCTTGGACATGATGGGCGGGCTTCTTCGATGTCGAAGAAGCTACTAAGCTGATAGATCGGATCGATGTCAAAAGGAAAGAGAAGAATGAGAGGCTGTGTCGGGGGAGTCTCGCTCAGCGGGACAGTTCTCGTTGCGTGTCGCGGGAAGCCGTCGGTCGGTGGTTAGCGTCTGATTACAATCAGTCGGCAGTGGAGCTATTGCAATTACAGACGGGCAGGGAAGGTGGTTGATGTTGTAGTGCGACGGTTTGGCGATCGATCCACGCCGCTCACAAGGTACTTCGGTACGATAGGCCGTGGTTTCAAATTATATTCGCTCGGCTTGTTGTGTGTACCGTTCTAAAAGCTGTGCCTTTGTCTTGCCGTGTGTGTGGTCTGGAGCGCGCAGGTTCAAGGTCGGTCTTGTTCTAAACTCTGGGGTAAATTGGTCGTCTGGGGATCCTCGTCCGTCAACAGGACAGCGGCGCCGGGGGGGGGGTGGGAAAAGATGTTGACCGGGTGGAGGAGGGATTGGATGTTTGGAGATTAGGTTGGACGATTGGCGTGTGAACCTAGGTAGGTTAGGAGGCGTCAATTGGGAGCAGGTGATTAGGGCGATGTTGGGAGGAACAGGACGGAAGAAGTGGAAGAAGGAAGAGGGACCTGAATGAGAGGGGCCAAGCTCAGCAGTTGGCCACCAACTGTTACAAATGTGACGATGCGACGCGCAAGCAAGTGTTGGTCCAGTCCAATGCGCAAGGAACTCCGGTCGGTTTGTTGGAAAGAAACCTCTCACTAGGTAGGTAACCAACCACCACCAGCAGCCTTTAGGTATTGATTCGAGCTTGTTTTGGACATGTATCGTTGGGTACCTAGTGTAGGTACATAGAGGTAGAAATCCCTCTCCCCAGCCTGGGCTACCTAGGTTGAGATTACGCAGTTGATTCGGTCCCAAGCAACAGGGCACTCACTATCGTCGTCCTTGTTGATGTTCCCTTCTCATCATCTTTTCAAGATTACCCGCCTGTTAGTGCTAGACCCCTTTCGGCAGCTTATACCGTAGCCGATCATTATGTCAGGGTCATGTACCTCTACCTATCTGGGCTGTAAATAGTCCAAATATCCGAACCCAACCCACTGTCAGCCTTTGATTTCTCCTTTGCGTACCTTATGTCCGTCGACGACTAGGTGTGTCGAATACCGAATTGTTTTCCTACCTGAGTTGTCATGTGTTAGTAACCAACCCCTCCGAGTCTGATCATTGCCCTGCGCCATCCTGGGCGTGCTGCTGCGGTGACGAAAGGCCGTGAGTGGCTTGGCACGATCCCCCAATTCAGTTCAAGTTCCACTTGACTCCAGGTCATGTCACTCACTGCCCATCACTCATCCATCGGCATCCCCCTTTCCCGGAACCAAGCGGGCAGTTCTCAAACAACCTAAGTAAGCTGCCTTCCATCTTTGTGTTATGACCGGGACCAGTCAGACTCTCCCAATGAGGAAGAAATCATGCCCAACAATATCAATCCCTCTCTTCTAATATCATCAGGGATTTACTCCACGAATTGTGCCTGACTGACATAATGAGAATTGATGCGGTCCCACTGAGCTCAACCCAAGTGTGTTGTGAGATAGGCTATCCAGTCACAGTCTGTTGGTGTACCTTGTTCCTGGATTTCTACAAGTATGATGGGGACCCTTTTTCCCTGCAGAGGGGCTTTGAGTTCCAGCAAATGACGTAAACATTCACGACTTGCCCTGAGGAGAAAGGCTCTTTTGCGACGGGACAAGTGACGAACGGGGGGAAATCATTCGCGGAAAGAGTCAAGCAAAATTACAAGGGCAGAAATGGGCTGCATATGCAGTGGAACACCCTTGTGGAGATTTTTTCTGGGTTTTGGTATTCTTCTAGAAATAGAAGCAATAACAGTGCTGCTGAAGTTATCACGACGGAAAACATTACCAGAGCCGGGGTTACCAACTACATTCACGATGCGATTGAGGGGGTCTTCAAGAGTAAATAACTGCTGCGCATCACATTTCAAGTGCTGATGCTACATACGTAAAGAACAATGATGCCCCTCGCTATCAAATGCTATGGACCTATACCGCCGACCAACCAGACTCCGATTGCCCTACTGACGCCATGGCCTATCCGTGATGCCCTCATTAGGCCCTAATCTTCAACAAAATAAAAAAGGTGAATGGAAGAAAATGAAAGAAAAACAAAATTTCAAGCCAGCTTGCCTTCCCCCTCTTTTTAAATAAACGTAACAGCAAGGTAGAATAGTAGAGTAGAAAATAAATGAAACAACATGGGGCCGAAGAGACTGACAGGAGGTGAGAAGAGGAAAGAACAAGAGGGCGGGCATTGACATGTTCGAGAGCGAAAACCCCGTCAGGAGTCGTCATGGCCGCCATCGCCATCGCCATCACCATCATCCTGACCATCCTCACCATTATCACCACCATTCTTCAGATACGAGTCGTCAGTGCCGTAACCCGGGTCACGCCACCATGCTCTATTGGGTTTTGTTCTCCAGGTTGGCGGCGCTGAAGCAGGACGGTTGGCTGAAGCGGGATTCGGAGACGCAAACCTTACCACTTTCCGTGGTCTTCCCCTTGGCCGTCTTCTTGGTGTGGCCCTTGCTCCTCCCTCTTCACTTCCTGTTCCTCTTATCGTCATCTCCGGCCTCCATGATAACGCTACTGATTCCTAATTGTCGTCATCCTTCATGGTAATATCTGCTTGTTCGTCTTCTCCGCCGCCATTGAAGCTGTCGCCGTTATCGGCACTCCCAGCGTCCTCTCCGTTTCCGTTCGCGCCAGAAGAGTTAGCACTCCGGCTCCCACTCCCACTGCCACTACCGCTCATGTTGTAACCGGCGGCGCTCTCCGCAGTAGGGGTAACATGCACCGTATCCCTCATCCCTTCCTCGCCCTCCTTCTTCGGCGTCGTAGAATCGAGCGATTTCTGCTTCGCCAGCCAACCAGGAGGAAAACCCGGGCCACTCTCGGCGTTACCGTAGTCGCTCTTCTTGGTACCCTTGGGCCAACGGCCAGGCCCGCGACCGGTGCCACCTGCTTTGCGCTTGCTGCTGCTGCTACTGCGGGGCTTGATGGCCGAAGATACGCGGCGGACACCGCTCGTACGGCGAGGGTTTCGTGGCCGGGCGGCGCTGCCGCTGTTGGTGCGGACGGCTGGTAGGCGGGCAACAGTGTTTCGGATGCGGTCGACGCCGGCTCCGCGCCGGGAAGTGTTGACCGGTGGAACGACCTCGAAGCGAGTAGGCGGGATACCCTCATATTGGGCCATCCAGTCGTCGGGGTTCTCTTTATCTTCGCCATCGGCGTCCGGTTCGGTCTTAGCTTTCCGGTCGTGGTCGTCGTTAGGGTGGACGGAGCCGTGGACGGAGCCGTTGGGAAAGAGACCGTTGGTTTTAAGGACGGATCGAGGGGAGATAACTTCGGGCTGGATGATACCCAGCTCGTTGGGCTCGGTTGACTCGAGAATGGTTGGAGCTGAGGTGTCAATCTCCATCTTTTCGACCTGGTTTGCCAGACCGTCAGGCTGAGAAGCATCACCGTTGAGGACGGTTCCTTCCTCAACCGTTGGCTTGGTCTCGTCGTCCTCCCTAGGGGCGATGGCGTTTAGTGCTGGCCCAAGCTCAAAGTTCGTGGCATTGCTCCGGCCCATAACGTAAGGAGTCCATGTGAGGGCTTTTGGTTCCAGCTGAACGTATTTCTTGGCCTCCCACTTTGCGACGTACTCCCGGCAGTAAGGTAGGTCGACGCGGAAGGCATAAAGTTGGGTCTGGGGATCGCGCACCAAACATCTCAAGCCCTCCAATGATGAGATGACGTCGTCTGGCGTGAGGCCCGTGTCATCGGAGATCTTCTTGATACTCAGACCTTTCTTCTCCTTGGGATCACTGGAGCAGTGCTCAAGGAGATATTTGCACATCACCAACCTCCAGTAGTTCCGGTAAGACACGAGGCCCATGTCGGAAAGAGGCTTTTCTGGGGAGCCAGTCTTTTGCTCGACCCTGGTGAGGAGATAGGAGAAGTCGATCAGGAGATTGCCGTATCCCTTTCGTTGGTGGATAGGCAAGGTGAGAATACACGAGACGTTGTTCTGACTACTCGCGCGCTTTTCCTTGGAAAAGTATCCGACGAAATGGTAGCCATATTGGTCATATTCACAGAGGACGTAGAAGAGAAATGGCTCCACGTCGTAATAGAGGGTCTTGGACCCAAGGAAGAGCTTGGCCAGCAAGCAGAGATTCTGGCAGTAGACCGGATTTTTGCGTCCGTCGACCTCGAAGACGGATATCGAGCCATGGCGATAAATCTCGTCGCCTGGTGGATGTTTTGCGGGGCACTTAAGCTTATGTCTCCATGCCACATAGTCGGAGTTCATGTACTTGAGGCAGAATTCGCAGATATATAGAACCCGGTTCCTGCTGTATTCCTCGGGATACGGTGCGGCATACCATGTGTCGATCTCCCAGCCTCCGAACTCGATGCACTCGATTTGGCTGGCTGGACCGGCCGTCTTCTTGGACTTCTTGACTGGTGCTTCGATCTCGGCTTGCATCTTCAAGAGTCGTTGTCGCCATTCCTCCTCGGCCATTTGCTTCGCTTCATCGAAACGCCGACGATCCTCGGGTTGAGGTAGTGTCTTGGACGTATCCGCCTCGGCGTCGGTGAGGATGCCACCGTATGGCTTTCCTTTGAGTTCATCCGTCTCCTTATCGTAGAAGGAATAAAATGGTTGGGTATAGCTTGTGCTAGCGAACGGTGCCGTGGAAGGTTCCATTGCATCAGCTGCTGCGGCCGCCCTGCGCGACCGACCTGACCTTCCTAACGTTTTACGCCCAGACCGTCCTGAACGGCCGGATCGACCTGATCGAGCAGACCGACTTGATCGCTTGCTGTTCCCCTTGGGTGGTTGCGATGTTATCTGCTGTAACTTGGTGGGATCTACACGCATGCGCAGCAAGATGCTACTTCGTGTCTTCTTGACGATGTTGACCGGGGCTGCAGGATTGGAGATCTTAATTCGCAATGACCGGGCCGAGGTCGGCCTCGCTTGTTCGTCGTGGCCGGCTGTGCTCTCATCGGGTTCTTCTTCGGTGCCCACGGTGTTCCGGCGTCGCTTCCTAAGGCTAATTATGTGCTCTGGGGGTTCTACTGAAGACGTCTTACGTTTCCTAAGTACGCGAGATCCATCCATAGGATCCTCGTCCAGCACGAGTTGGTTGAAGACGGAGTGGGAATCCGGGTTTGTGTGTTTTTGAGGAGGCAGAAGGTCCCTAGCCAGTTTGGGTGCTGACGCTCGGCGTGTGGTGGGGTGGGTAATGGTTTCCGTCCCGTTCACCTGCGTCGGCTCGTGATTCTTCCCCGCGGCGGTTTGTGACCCTTCTTCACTGGCGCAATTCGGACATTTCCAGGCGTCGAGTGCTAGTTATGGTCAGTGTACGTAATGTAACATCAATGGTATCGATGCGGAAGGGCTCCATTAAGTTCGTACCTTGATCACTGGGCAACGCATTCGCTTCCCTTGCACACTGCTGGTGGGCTACTAACCGTCAGCTTCTAGCTCTCCTTCTTACCAGTTCGTAATCCATCCCGTAATTTCAACAGAACAAGATGTACTGACCGTTGTCTCCACATCCAGCACATGCAAGATACTCCTCGAATTCCTCGGCCGGGTCGTGGTCTTCGTCTTGCTTACAGAACATGCAAAGTCCACTATCTCCCTTTTCGGAACCCTCATCATCATCGTCCTCGTCGCCCGCAGGTTCGTGCTCAGCCGCATCTTCCCAGTGTACCTCGTCCTCGGATTCCGCATCACTGACGCTCGCCGAACTTGCCGACGAATGGTCGTCTTCCTCCTCCCCGCTTTCACTTTCGCTATGGTCAGTGTCACCCGGTTTTATTTTGACGGCTCCGACACCCTCGTCATCGTCGTCCTCATCATCGTCATGGTCCTCCTCCACGCTTGGTAGGTGTTGTTGCGAGGTATGTTCCTCGGAGTGGACGGAGTCGCCCTCGTCTCCTTCGGCATCTTCATCGAACCCCTCGGGGTCTTCACCGTCGTGTTCCTCTTCTTCGCCGTGTTCATCACCGGAGTCTTCGTGGTGGTCGTGGTCATCATGGCCGTCGTGGCTGCCTTGGTCCGAGTGTTCGGCATCGTCGCCTTCGCCCATTTCCTCGTCGTGGTGGTCGTTCTCTTCCTGTGCATCGTGCATCTCTTGGTCTTCGTCGGCCTCGCTAGGCTCGGGCTTGGCGATGATGTTGGACATCTCGGAGGTAATAGTGACTTGGTCGACCATTGCGACGTCCCCGTCAGCGGTACTGGCCTCAGCCTGGTGTTCCGACATCATGACGCTCTGCTGCAGCTCCTCCGCCCTGAGCTGTTCGTCGGCCATTGCAGGTTGTGTGTGTTCTGTTTTTTCCTTGTTGGTTGTCCGCTTTGTTCTCAGCACCCGGCCTGGCTTCCCCGCACGGGCACCCCTTTGGCAAGTCTCGTCAAGCGTAACCTGGCCAGAGGGCACTCATACCAGCTAGCTCGAAGTTGGTGTTTCGGGCCTTATCATGCCTGGAGATGGATGAACAGTGGAAGGCGACCCAAGTTTATGTATCGGCGACAGTTTTCTGTGTGGTTGTGGTGCTTGGAGGCCGCAGCTGCGAGACGCTGGTGCCTACTGGAAGCAGGTGATTTTGTTTGCGACAGCTCGAAAGGGGGGTTGAAAACGCGCTGATCCGGGCAACAAGGCTGCGTGTATCGTGTCGTTCTGCGGTCGCACTAGGTCGATGATGTCAAAAGACGCGTCGCGTAGTTGTTCTTTTGTCGTGGAGGGCCGTAGTCAGTGCTCAAAGTGCCAGTGTGCTTGTTCGCGGAGTGTTGTCCCTGAGAAGTTGCCCGTCCCTTTGGAGTTCCAGACGCCCTTACCAATCGAGGTTACGTTACCGGGCCGATGTACGTGCAAGGGTACACGTGCTTAGTCAGTTGCAATGCAACCGCCAAGCTTCCAGCTCCTGCGGGTCCAGGCGGGTTGGTGGGGGGGTGGTCTCTGCTCCACTGGAAACATCCCAGGCGACCGAAAGCTTCCATTTCCAGCTGATTTCCACTTCCCTTGAGCGCCTGAGGCATCCGCGGCCCGTCTCCGCCAATTCGTCCAAGACGCTCCACGGCATCTGCCATCCCATCACCAGACTTGGGACCTGTATCCCGGCCACTGCAACTGCTTAGCTGCGGATTGTCACAACAGAGAAGCCACAACATAATCATACCATTGCACAACGACTTTAGGTCGGTTCCAAGTAATTCGAAAAATAGTGTTGCGGCTTGACTGACCGAATTGACTAGGTCCAGAAAAACCGCCGCGATGACTGTCCCATTCGAGGCCCTCATTCCCTATGCCATCATCGTCACGGTAAGCTCCACCGGATCAGTGCGCCCGGAGCGGGGTGGGGGGATCGGGTCCCGCTGACGGAAACCTAGATGTTCGGCGTCACGGGCGCCGGCCTGTCTGCCATCAAGACTGCCCAGAACGGCGGCAAGAAGGCGAGATGGTCGTTGGATACCTGGGATAGAGTGCGTAAACCCTCTGCTACTCGTTGAGCTCATGGGCTAACTGTTGTATAGCAAAGTACGCACCACTTATACCTGCGAACTGCGCGAGTCATGATGCGCCTTTGCGCACATCCACCCTGACAGCGACTGACAATTGGTGTTTTTATAGTGATGGACCGCGACCGCAGACTTACCGGATGGTTACGAGGGCAAACAGATGCCGCAGATGCGCCTTATGGGTTTGAGTACAACAACCCGTGGAGAGTATGTTGCTTTGATTTCCGAGCTTTACGATACACATGGACTGACTGACACATGCACTTCCAGGTTGAGAAACGGTTTTCGTGATTGGTCAACCGACATTTAAAACAGCCACCTCCAGGGCGGATTGTCAAGAAGATTATCGAGAGAACCAGGCTCACCAACGATATCACGACGACCCGCACCGACGACCACTTACCGATACGTTCGACGATGTCAATACGGCGCCCTATTCGGGCCATACCAGCCGTGCGGGAAAACAGAACGCTTAGATACAGGCTAGGTAGACAGCACTGCCTAATGGTGCTTCCACAGAGTATAGAATGCTTTTCAGATCTGAATCTGTGCTCTGTTCTTGTTGAGACCCTCCAAAAGCATGCATGCCTGACAAATCTCCTGACTAGACATGTAACCGCAGCGCTTGCAGTTACCCAATGTCTGCCGTGTTACTGGCTTGGAGTTCTTGTTCGTCTTCAACGGCACTGCACCATCTGTCTCTGATTCCGCTGCCTTGCCGGCCAAGGAGAGCTTTGAGACATCAACCTCGAGCTCTTCGGCAGCCTCGTTCTCTCTCAGCTGCTTCTCCATGGCGGCCATCTCGTTGCCAGAGGCAGCTCCGTTTGAGCCACAGCCGCCAATGCCACCATCATCCTCTGCAGCCGTTGCCGTGGGTGGCTTGGATTTGCCCTTGCAACCACAAGATGAAGCCGACTCCCCTGGTACTAGTCTCGCCATGTCTTCGCCGCTACGGAGAATATCCAAAATGGCGCTCGGTCGTATCCTCTCCAGCTGCTTGATCAGAGCTCTGGCGGTGCCACGGAACGCCTCCGGGCTGTAAATGCACTCTGTGCTAAAGTAGTCCAACTTCTTGTGATACGCATACATGACAATCTCCTTTTCGTAAGCATACTTGAGCGGCTTACTCCTCTTGACATCAGAACTGCCGTCTCCAGTTACAATGTTCGTACTCCGTGCCAGGCGTCCCATGTCTCCACGCAGTAGGTTCATGAGAATCGTCTCGGCCACATCATCGGCGTTGTGTCCCGTTACCACGTGCTTGATGTCGAGCATTTTGGCCCCACGATCGAGCGCCTGTCGTCGGAAGACGCCGCAGTATGTGCAGTTGCCCTTCTTGCCAATCGTCTCGACGACCTGGTCCATCGTCCACCCGTAGAGCTCATCATACCCTACAATCTTCAACGGCATGTCGTACTGCACGGCATTTCGCTTGACCGTCTCCAGGGAGTCGTCTCGGTAACCCTTGATGCCTTCATCGATACTGAGTAAAATGAGTTCGAGTCCGTAGTTGTAACGTTCGTTAAGATTCTTGAGGACTGAAGCGAGCACAGTTGAGTCCTTGCCGCCTGACGCGCCGATAGCCACTCGCTCGCCGGGGTAAAATAGTTTGGATGATACGATGGTATGGTGAACCTCCTCCTCGAATAGTGTAAGGAAGCAGCCCTTGCAGACTCTGGCGTGGTTCTTCGGCCGCTTGATGTTTGCTCGCTCGGTTTTGCAGATGGCGCAAAGTGCTGGAGCCATCTTGGCTGAGATGAAGGGGGTTGAGTGAAAGACTGAGATGGGTTGTCGTCGAATACTATTTTGAGGGTTCCTTCCTGAGTCCACGGTGTTTTTTATGCTGGGAAAGTTATTTGCTGCGTAACCAAGTGTCCAGACCCGATCTCACGTTGAGACATGCCGATGTGCTGCAGTCATCAACAAATTATTTGTAAGATGCGTCAAAGGAAGGCATCAGCGTTTAAGACAGGCCGCGGCCTGGACCAGACCAGAAAAATGCGATAAGCTGCCTGGATTGCCGATAAGGGACACACCGTGGCGTTTGCCCAAGACCTGAGTGGACCAAGCTGGGCTTGCTGTCACGCCCCACTCATTTTTCAGTCCAGCCACAGCTGTCTCTCTCCGTCAGCCCCCACCAAGTGGACACCAGCCGCAAAATATCCGCCAACCCTAAAAATTCCACCACCACTTTTTCTCCGCGCGTTTGAATTCTCGATTTTGAATCTTTGTCTGTTGCACCTCACGTACACTTAGGAACCTGAGCCAACGCCGATAATCAAAATGGTAAGCACCTGAACGACTACGACTCGATACTCACGACCTCTGCGATCGTCTTTACGACGCGCGCATGTGGGATATGTTGGGAATGCTCTTGATCTCTGATTGAGTTGCATGTTTTCCGCTCGTCGGTCCTTCGGGGCCGCGGGTGATGACCTGGCTTGAGTTGGATCCGCGTGCATGGCAGAAATGCTTGCCCGGCCACTCTCTAGAGTTAACGAAGACTGAAGTCAAATGGACCAAAACATTTACTGATGTCTTCTTCTCAATGATAGCCTCAGAAGTCTGGCAAGAAGGCCGCTCCGGCCCCCTTCCCCCAGGGTAAGGCTGGCAGCAAGAAGGCGCCCAAGGTAAGCAAAAACAGCTCTATCTCTATCTGCCTCTTCGAATCTCGGTGTGCTAACATGCAAACAGAACCCTCTCATCGAGAAGCGCCCCCGCAACTTCGGCATTGGCCAGGCTATCCAGCCCAAGCGCAACCTCTCGCGCATGGTGAAGTGGCCTGAGTATGTCCGCCTCCAGCGCCAGAAGAAGATCCTCAACATGCGCTTGAAGGTCCCCCCTGCGCTCGCCCAGTTCCAGCAGGTTCTCGACAAGAACACCGCTGCCCAGGCTTTCAAGCTCCTCAACAAGTACCGCCCTGAGACCAAGACCGAGAAGAAGGAGCGTCTCCTCCAGGAGGCTACCGCCATCAAGGAGGGCAAGAAGAAGGAGGACGTCTCCAAGAAGCCCTACGTTGTCAAGTACGGTCTCAACCACGTTGTTGGCCTCATTGAGAACAAGAAGGCTTCCCTCGTTCTCATCCCCAACGATGTCGACCCCATCGAGCTCGTTGTCTTCCTCCCCGCTCTCTGCCGCAAGATGGGCATCCCCTATGCCATCATCAAGGGCAAGGCTCGTCTCGGCACTGTCGTCCACAAGAAGGTATGAAGCATTCGATAATCCCAGGGTTCCAGCATGCAGTGAACTAACATAGTATGTCTCAGACCGCTGCCGTCCTCGCCCTCACTGAGGTCCGCGCTGAGGACAAGAACGAGCTCGCCAAGCTCGTCTCCGCCATCAAGGAGGGCTACCTCGAGAAGAACGAGCAGGCTCGCCGCCAGTGGGGTGGTGGCATCATGGGCGTCAAGTCCCAGATGAAGATTGCCAAGCGCAAGAAGGCTCTCGAGAACGCCATCAAGGTCTAAATTTGACCTCATGGTGTAATCGAACACGGTTGGGACATGGCGCTTACACTATCGGTTTTCGTATTGGACATACCAAAATCAGATCAGGGTCAAATGAACTGCCTACTTCCGCCGTAGCAGACGTCCCAAGGTTGCTTTCAGACGTTGTGAATAACAAATGATACCCAGTTTTTGCTTTCTTCCAGTGTGATGAAGACCCATCTCCCTTCCCCCCAGGTCAGTTAACCATGGATTCCCGATCCCATCCTCCCATTCCCCCATCTCATCGTGAACTTGAACGGCATTAGTGTGTACAACATTGAGCTCATATACCCACGCTCATGTGTTGAAGGATTTTATCGTGCCAAGATAAACTTTTTGCCCTACTATTACCAAACACTTTAGTCCTCTTTGCTCTCGGGACTTTCGTGCATGAAAGTAGTGCCACATGCCATCACTTGACGATGGTTTACTTGACTGTTTTTTGACTTTTGGGTTCGGTCTTTATGGACACGAGACATTTGGTTCCTTGTCTATCCTTGGCCATGAGGCTGGCCCAAACGGTCTCGATAACATCTTATACAGAATAAATATAATGCTATTTAACAATTGATTTTCTTCATCCTTCCCTTGTTATGTCTGGGTGCTTGTTGAATTGATGGCTATTGCCAAACTCAAAGGAACTGACAGAATCAATGCGAACCGGCGCTAGGGAACGATCGTCAGGGACTGCCCCCCCTTGTTGTTGTACCAAAATACCGAGAATCCGGCTGTCCGGTGACGGCGAATCGGCTCCGCCATTGGCAATTTGGGGAAATCTGAAGCTTATCTGCCACTTTGAGGTCAGACAATGGGTGATCCATGATGGGTTCAAAGCTGTCAGAAAGTTTCTGCGCAAAGCACCCTTTTCGCGCCCTCGTGTCCTTCTGGTTCGGATGTATGTGGATGCATTTGATATGGGACCGGGACACCCATGATGATTCCCGGAGTCGCGAGAGCTCTTGTGCTTGGTCCATCCCTCCATTCGATATTTCCGGCGCTGAGAGGGGTTCCTCCACCGGCGTTCTTCACAGTGGCTGACCGGGGCGTGGGTGGTGCCTCCCAAAGTCTGCATCCCAACTCCTCCCACTCGGCCATGCACCGTGACAATGCTGAAGACAGAAGCGCCTTCCCGGCATTTTGTTGAGAAAACACTTCTTATCCTGGACTAAACTCCAGGCAAGATGATGGAAACAAGCAGGGTTTGGCTTTCCAGTCCGAGAATATGGGGAAATCTAGTTCATCTACAAAAGCCGGCGGGTGCCCCCCAATATGACGGGTAGCTGCAGTTCTCGAAGGTCTTTTGATCTTGAAGTCCTTTTGTTCTGATCTCTTGTGCCCTCTCCTCGCTCTGATATCAACAACACAACCGAAGTTTGTGCCCTTCGCATCTCAGACTACGGCCGAGTTAAAGACGACGGCCTCCTGAAGAGCATATCCACCTGGTAAGTCCCAATCTCTCTCGATACTTTACTAGACAACAAAGTCAAAAAGAATCAACCAGCCTCCGAAAATACCGTTCATGTCGGTGACGGGTCTATTCTTGGCGTGTGGTTGTGGATGTCTGTACTCTGGGACCTTACATTTGGCCCCTCCCGATTCATCGGATCCCGCAAGCCTCAAGTGAATCAGTGGGGTTCAGCTCCAAACCAGTCCACCATCATACGGGGACTTGGTGAGGATACCGGGCATTCCAGGAGATTACAGCCTTTGCTTCTGGAAGATTGCAACTGAACGGTATCGAGTTTCCAGAGGTCTGGTATCGGAGTTGGGACTTGAGAAGAAGAAGAGGGTTGGAGGAGAAGAATCATTTCATCTCGTCCGGCTGATGAACCTCACAAGACGCTTGGTCAGCTCAACAACATCCGTCTACACCATCTCTTCAGTTGTTATTCCACAAGACGGACACCACGTTCCGTACGATTGGATGTCCTGTTATCGTGGGCCAATACATTCGGGATCTACAAGCTCCTATACTTACACATGCGTGGACCGCAGGCGGATCTCGAGCTCCTCTAGTCTACTCCGAATCCCGGGTACTGAGCTTACCTTTTGATACCCGCTTCATATTCTTATATCATCCCTCCACTCCTACTCTTACGCCGCCGGCCCGCGTTTCTCTTCTCATCAAACGAACCTATCATCCTCTGTCCTCGCTCGAGCTACTTTTTTGTCCAGGGTCTCAAGTTTGTCCTCCCCCGCTTCAGTCCTGCTGCACGTCTTGCTTTTGCATAACACTGCTGGCTAACACAACCCGATAGTTTAGCGTGACGTATCTTTGCCTCGTCTCTTCAACCTTTGATACCCAAACTCGTTCCATCTTTCAAAATGTCCGCCGATAACACATTCCACTACGCCTTGAGCTCCAACAATGCTTGGGCTGGTTACAAGGCCCATCAGAATCCCCAATTCTTCCCCAAGCTTGCTGGCGGCCAGTCTCCGGAAATCCGTAAGTCATCATTCTATCCCACTTACCTTGCCTCTCTTTTATCTGTCCTAACTTGGTTTCAACAGTCTGGATCGGTTGCTCCGACTCTCGCTGCCCCGAGACCACTATTCTGGGCATGCAACCCGGTGATGTCTTTGTCCACCGCAACATTGCCAACATCATCTCCCCCACCGACATCAACACTACGGCTGTGATCGAGTACGCCGTCGCCAATCTCAAGGTCAAGCACGTTGTTCTCTGTGGCCACTCAGCCTGCGGTGGTGCGGCCGCCGCCCTTTCCGACGTCCGGGTGGGTGGCGTTCTCGATACCTGGCTGCTCCCTCTCAAGACGGTCCGCTTCAACCACGCCGAAGAGCTCGAGGCCATCACAGACGAAAAGGAGCGTATCATGCGCATCGCCCAGCTCAACGTGGAGGCGGGCATCAAGGTGCTCATGAACAACGCGACGATTCGGGAAGCCATTGCGGAGCGTGGGCTCGAGGTCCATGGTGTGTTCTTTGATATCAGCTGCGGACGCATCAAGGAGCTCGGGTGCGGCACGGCTCACGCGGGAAAGGGCGACCATGTTGTTAGGGGCAAGCATGGTCAGCTTGTGTTTGGACAGGATGGCGAGGCTGCGATTGCTGCTGCGCAGTAAAGTACACCAAACTCAACAAGAACATGGAAGCACATGGTTGAGGTTCATGTTGAGATTGCGGGGAAAGATTTACACTACACTAGCGAGTTCGCCAACGGGCGACCAAGAGACGGGTTGCAACGGTGTAACGGTGCCTTTTCTGGGGGTTTGGCTTGGGTAGACTTGGCAGGTCGCGCGGGATGTCTTGGCGATCTATCGGGTGTTGAGCAAGCCGGGCAAAGGGCATTGACGTGTTCGGCAACGAGATGTTTTGCATTTTTGGGTCATTTGGGCATGGATTATCATGCTGTTGGAGAAATTACATGGATGGAGGAACTTGGAAGAAGGCTGGAGCAGCAGTAAGCAGCACAAGATCCTGACAGTCCGTGCTTTTCTCACTATGGTTTACATCCTTATCACGGACTTTTCTACGGAGGAGCATATCATTGCAGGGAGTTGAGAGTTGAGTTGGTTTTTTGGGATATACAGAATACATGATTCATATTTACCTACAGGGCAATGTTCGATATTCATGATCTTCCTAACTGCTGTCCTGGCCTTTCTATCGTAATGTTGACCCAAGAGCTTTTCACGAGAACCTGGGTGACGGTGAACAGAAAAATGACCAATAGAAAATCACGACTTATACAAGCACACAGCCATCATTAGCTTCCGCGGGTTCCGTTATCGCAACCATTTGACGGGCAGATGGACAGTACATGACTCGAACGCAAAGAAGATGCGAAATTGCTGATTCCAGAACAGACAGAGAACACTAGCGGTCAAGGTTTCAGGAATTCGAGAGTCTACATAGCATTCATGACATGCAGGCAAGCAATTCTTGACAATGTGCATTGTTTGGCTGTTGTCGTCGTAGTGTACCAATGGAGGTTCCAGGCTGTGACGGGCTTGCAGTTCATTACAGCACAGTAAACCCTTATCGGCGTTATCGCACAGTGTCTGTCCATCCATCATTTGAATCCTCAGGATACACCTGACCCTAACCCTACAAGCAGAGCCGTTGCTGTAGGTACCCCTCATTGTACTTTGGGGAACGACAGGTAACCCCACCTCACCCACCTTCTAAAAATGCAATGGACGACTTTTCGAACGAACAGGCGGCCTTCATCCCCTCCTCCGGTTTCCGGCCATGACGTGAAATGTTCAAGAGAAGGAAAGAAAAAAGAAAGCAACCACGTGCTGGGCAAAAACAAGCTTTTCACAGTCCGGGTCTGGACCTTTGAGGATACCTAACCTTGTGGCAAATGGCATTGAAAGCCATCCTTGAATTTTGGAGAAATCCACCCGGCATGAAGTTGACGACGTCAGGGCTCCGGGGAAGCTGGTCGGGCGGTCGCCGTCTGATGTCCAAAGGTCCACTGAGCGGTGGAAAGGGTCGTCGAATCCCCAAGGGAAATGGTTGACGAACGGTTGGGAAGAGGAAATTCGTGACAGTTGATATTGGAATCTGTTTGGATGGCTTTGTGATCAGTAACAAACGAGTTCCTACCTCTAGCTTCTCTCCAAACGTAGAAGTAGGTGTTAGTGTGGATGATGCACAGAAGTGGACCGTAACGCCGTAAATGGTGTAGAAACCACCACCGGGTCTCACTTGCCGGACCAAAGCAACAAAGCCGGGGGATTACCTTCCGTTCCGGATAGTGAAAAGGTGTCAATTCTCATCCGATTCGCCTTCTTAAACTGAATGTCTAAACCGTTGACCCGCGGACGGGAGCCAAGCCCAAGCCGACCGTTTGCCCGGATGACGGACATGATGCAAACCATGGAAGCCAACGGATTACTACTTGCTTGCTGGGCACGGCTTGGCGGATCAACACTTCAACGTAACCACGCCATCCAACTTGGACATCCCACTTGATATCTGAAACCGTGGGGAACATCGGGACCCTTCTGTCTCACAAACTTCTCAAGCAGGGACTCATTCGATATATCATCCATCCAGACATCATCATGACATTCTCCATCCTCACCGACGACGAAATCAAGTCGCTGTTGGACAACCTCACACTAGACGAGCTCGAGTCCTTCCGCGAGAACCTTAGAGATGCTCTCCACGTATACTCTACCGGAGCTCATACGCCCGGTCAAGCTCTCATCCACCAGCCCGAGCGAACGGTAGTCCGCAGCGGCATCACCGGCGCCACCACTTTGTTCATGCCATCATGTAGTCCAGCCGGTCACGGTGTCAAAGGTATGATGTCTTCGCATTACATCGCAAACGGGATGGGATACTAACCAGGCCCCCCACCAGTCATCACCCTCTCCTCCGCCGAGCAAATAGTCAAGTCGACACAACAAGAAGAAGCCGGCCAAGACGCCACCACCCCGCTCATCCGGCCCACGGGCGCCATTACCTTGTTCAACCCCAACGGCTCTCCGCGGGGCATCATCCACGCCAGCACGGTAACCGCCTTCCGCACGGCACTGGCCTCCTTATGTCTGGTCCATAAGCGCGATCATGTCAAGACCATCACCGTCTTCGGCTGCGGCGAGCAAGCCTACTGGCACGTGCGCCTGACCTTACTCCTGCGCGGGTCCACCATCAAGTACGTCAACGTGATCAACCGGCGCTTCTCGCCCTCGTGCGGCGCCATGCTACGGCGGTTTTACGAGGTCTCGCCTGCCATCAAGGCGCGCGAAGGGTGGACGAATACGCACTTTGGCGTGTTGACGCCCAGCTATGGCGAGTATGAGCGGTTGCTAAGGGACCAGGTGCGGAGCGCGGATGTGATTTTCTGCTGCACGCCCAGCACGGCGTGTCTCTTTGACGGAAATATCTTGACGGAAAGGGATGCAAGGAGGAAGGGCAGGCTGATTGTGGCGATTGGAAGTTATACGCCGCAGATGAGGGAGGTGCCGATTGAGCTGATTCAGCAGGCGGTGAAGATTCAGGATCAGGCGGGGAAGAGGATCATTCACCATCATAAGCATGCAATCGAGGGGGGCGTGGTGGTGGTTGATACCCTGGACGGAGCGTTGAAGGAGGCCGGGGAGTTGATTGAGGCTGGACTGGGGCCGAGGCATTTGGTCGAGTATGTATTCCCCTCTTCTGGCTTCGTTACTTTTGCTGAATGATAATACTAACGAAACGTTCACAGACTCGGAGAACTAGTAATGCTCAACCGCATCGCCCTCTCCGAAACCGACAACGACTCCTCCCATACTTCGACAGATGTCGACACCGACACCCTCTCCGCCTCCGCCTCCACGCTAACCATCAATATCGCTCCCACCGAGGAAAAGGACTCCTCCTCTAACAGGGACAGCAGTGAAAAGACAAGGCGCCCCCGCCACAGCCGCCACCTCTCCCTCCAGAGCATCGTCCACCGCGCCTCCCGCTCCCGCAGCCGTAGCAGCAACCCCGATCGCGGTGACGACTACGAAGAGAAAAAGAAGGAAAAGAAGAAGAAGAAGGAGACGGAAGACGAGCTGGCCCGCTGGCTGCAAAAGGGCAACGTCATCTACAAGAGCGTCGGTCTCGGATTGATGGACTTGACGGTCGGCATGCAGCTGGTGGATTTCGCGGAGCAGAAGGGCGTGGGCACTCATATTCCGGCCTTTTAGGAGAGGAACGGGGTTGGTAGTATTCCGCTTATGGGACTGCAGGGCAAGGAGATGGTGGAGGTTGGGTTGGGGTTGGAACCGCTGGATGTTGCTGGCGGTGATGGTGATGTTGTCGGTGGTGGTGATGTTGTTGATATTATCGGTGGGAGTAAGACTTCTGCTGGACTTGGAAGTGAGGGTGGTAGTTCCAGACTGGAGTCGAGCGAAGACTCGGTGGAGGGAAGTCAGGATCAAGAAAATGGTGCTCAGGGCCACGGCCAGGGAGAATCTCATGTGGCTTAGAAAGCCCAGGGAGCTGCTCGGGGTGAAGCCAAGGGAAAAGAGGAGGAGGAGGACGAGCGTGATGCTACTGGTCATTGTCATGGTTTTGAGGTGACGAAGAAGAGAGAGTATCGTGGGTTTGATGAACGCGATTTCGCAGCAGAGGAAGGAAGTGATGACTATGAGGATGAGGATGATGAGCTGGAACAGGAACGTGGGTTCCATATCCCTCATATGCCTCACGTCCAGGACATTCCGATTATCCGGAAGTTTAGCAGACGGAGCAGGAACAGTCTTTGAGTTGGCGGCTACAAGCTCTGTCGAGAATACTTTTCATCTCCAGACTTGAGAAGAGTCAACACGGTATAAATGTTATGAGTTCATGTTTACGATTCAGGAAAGGCATAGCAAGTTCTCTCTCTCTCTCTTCCAGAAAATGAGTAAACACCAGGTTATGTAGCTACATGGGTAGATAGACACGTAACCAATGCTGCTTTCTAAGTATTCACCTCCAATTACACCCAGCATAAATATGCCATTCCTTGACCAAATTCCGCGCACGTAAGTGAGACAAATCCCAAGTAGATTAGTCTCTTCGTTGCACATAGGTATTCTCTCTCCCACGCTCCCCGCCCAACTATTTCCAATACCTTTTCAAAAGATCGATAGACCTCACAAAAGTCCAAGACCAGCAGCACCCATCAACCCTCCCACAATCATGTGAACCACAAAATGCACCACCGGTCCACCAAGTGTCTTTTGGGTCTCATCCTTCATATCTTCCTTCTCCTTCTCCTTCTCCTTCTCCTTCTCCTTCTCCTTCTCCCCCTCCTTCTCCCCCTCCTTCTCCCCTCCTTCTCCCCCTCCTTCTCCCCCTCCTTCTCCCCCTCCTTCTCCCCCTCCTTCTCCCCCTCCTTCTCCCCCTCCTTCTCCTCCCCTCTCAGACCCTTCTTCCTTTTCTTTTCATCTACCGCAGAAGAGGAGGAAGAGGACATACAAATCCTCTTCCGAGCCCTATATATCGGAAACACATGGTAAAGACTCAAACACGCGGTAACCCCTCTAATCAGCTCTTGTTCTTCTTCTTGATTTCCATTTTCATTTCCATTTTCATTTCCATTTCCATTTCCATTTCCTGGGTTTGGGCCTGGCCTCGTAGTAGAAAATCGATGATGATGATGATGGAACAAGAAGAGGAGGTAAATAACCAGGCAGTTGACGCTCAGTAGTAGGCCGCCAAAGTTGCGCAAGATGAGGCGGGCTTCTGTTGCTTGTTGGGGGGTGATGGGTGGTGATTGCCGTGGAGGATGATTTGTTGAAGAGGAGGGGTCCTCGGTGGTGGGAGAGGGAGATAGAGATGGACATGGGGAAGACGAAGAGGAAGAAGAAGAGGAAGAAAGAAGGGGAAGTTGCGATTCAGGACGCAAGAGAAAGGAGAGCGAGGCGGGGGTTTCGATTAACAAGTGGAGGAGGAGGGGGAGGTGGGAGGTGGGAAGGCCTAGGATTGTGGGTGTGGTGATAGGCATTGTTTGTTGTTGTGGTCCCGTTTTGGTTGGGCTGGGAAGGGTTGTTAGTAACTGAGGCATCTTTATCTTCTCTGTGAGACGGGGAGGGAAGTATCTTACCTTGATTGATATCGAACTTGAGGTTGTTGGAGAGAGAGGGTGTGGAAAAGCTGGTACCTCCGGTGTCGTCAAGTTTGGAGGCGCTACCTCGTGAAAAAGGTTGCAACTTTCCAATGATGTCAAGGTGCGGCGTGGCTTGTTGTTGTTGATGTTAATGTCAATGTAAATGGAGACTTTCTGTCCCGAAGTTCGGATTAGGATCCAGGCTTTTATCTTGTTCTGGACTTGGATTTCGGGGGTGTTCTTCCTTCGGCTGGTTGCTTACTCCATGCTAGAAGAAGACAAGAAGGCCAACTCAATGCAACGTGAAGCCGTTCCACCAATCAGATCGCTTTGTTAGTTGGAATGAACACCGTTGTCTTCATAAGGCAGACATTGTAGGTTACAAGATACCAAAACAACAATATCATATATAGGGATCAATATGAAAAGCTTTAGAATGACGGCTGTGTAAAGCACTTGGCGAGGTCACCTGTTAGGACGAGAAAAGAATTAAGCTTTACCTGTTAATTTCTGTTTGTTGTATCTTCTAAAGCCAATGTGCACAAAGCAAGAAATTCAAGCATCCTACGCCACGCTTTTGTTATCTCACATCATCAAACCAAAAGTTCAGCGACACGTATGCCTTCCCCGGATTGAATAGGGTCCCGGAAAAGTAAACACCCACTGTTTCATCTCCCAAATCCACATATCTACCTACCCAACAGCCCTACCCAAACCTAGCCTTAGCCAACGCCTTCAACCCCTCCATAACCCTATCCTCTCTCTCCTTCGCCTCCTGAATCCTCTTTTCCCGCTCCGCCGCCCTCGCTCGCTCCATCTCCTCCCTCCTCAGCTGCCTCTCCGTCTTCTTGACTTCTTCCCTCTTCATCATCCGCTTGTACTCCTCCAATCCTCCTCCATCCCCTTCACCCATCAGTTCGCTTTCAGCCACCTCCCCTCCCGGCGACGGTTCTCGGAAGGACTTTAGCTTTTCGTTCAGCTCTTTGCGTTTTTCAAGCCGGCGCTCGCGTGTGCCGGCGTCGGCGCGCGGGACCAGGTCTTCGAGTCGTTCTTTTTGCAGGGCGCGATCGGCTTTGCGTTGGGTGCGCAGGGCTTCGAGAGAGGAGGCGCGTTGTGTGGCAGACTCTTCGGCGAGGGTCTCGCGGTGGAGGGTGAGGTCGGTTAAGGAGGGAATAGTGGGGCCATGGGCGTGAGTCCGGGAGGAGGAGGACTGGCCGGGGAGGGTGGGGCCGTAGTCGGAGTCTGAAGCGTCGTCTTCTTCTTCTTCTTGATTTTGAAGAATCTGGGGAGGGTTGGAGTCGGGCTGTGGTGTATCGTTGGTCTCGATGGATGGTCTTGCTGTTGTCGATTCGGGGTTGTCACCCTCAGACATCGTTGAGACCGCCCTCCCCTTCCTGTCTTTCTCCTTGAGACTGCTTGCTTCGGCGATGGAACGGGGTACTCTGCTCTCTGTTGCGGCCTCCTTGGCTGCTCCGGCGAACCTCTCGGGATCATACCACCCCTCTGCCAACTCGCCGCGGTTCCACTTCTTGACGAAGCTCTTCCATCTACCGCGGAGTTCGTAGTCGTCTAGGTCGTCGATGTAAAGTTGTTTTTGGATATCGAGATATTGGGCAAAGAGCGGTTCGAAGTTGGGGTAGTCGGAGCGGGAGAGTTGGCGGGAGTTGAAAGGGAGGGGTTTGGGTGGTTCGTCCTTGGATCGTTCATATGAGTGGGAGCGATGGCGGTGGTTGTCTCTGTCCTCGTGCCGCCGCCGGTGGCGATCCCTGTCTCTGACCCGGTCCCTCTCACGGTCTCGGCTTCTTGATCGCTCCCGATGTCTATCACGTCCCTCTCCATGCCTGCGATCCCGCTTGTCGTCGTACCTCTCTGACCTCGATCTTGACCTTCTCCTGTCGTGATGTGTGGATCTTGAGCCACCAGGGAGAGGTGACCGCGATCGGTATCGGTGGCCTTCGGCGTTCATGTTTGAACCAATAACTGGCGTTTGCTCGGCGTATGTCCTGATAACCAAATTCTTCGCGTAAGGATCGGTATACACTCTTTTATCCTCGAGTTTTGTTGAATGTTTTGTTGTCTGAAGCGGTATGTCGCTGTATTATGATAGGTGAGATCCACTTGTTGATCTCCAGCTGTGAAAGGAGTTGCCAACGAGGTGATGAAACGTGGATTGTGTTGATATGGGCCAATGAATCGGGTTTCTAGAAGACCAGATGTTTACAACTCCCAAAATAATGTCATAAAGATTTAAATGTTGAAATTATTTGAAGTTGGAAGTTGGAAAAGAGATGAACTTGATGCAGGATTTTGTTGATATCCCAGAAAAACGGAAGAGCATGGAAGGTCAGGGATGCAAATGCTAAACGTTGCACCGTTTTGATGTAGGGTTCCGTTTACAGACCGTTTGGCTCAGAGCGTTGAGCATATAGTTGAGAGAAATGTTACGCAAACAACAATCTGCCTCACACTGCTGGTTAAAAGCGAATTTTGAGACTGTGTTATTTTTGAGAAAGAGAATCTAGTCACTGGTGAAGCTAAAGTGAGACCACGTTGAGCTACAACTTCCAAGTTGCCAGCAGGTCACATGACCGTGATTCGTAAGTGGGTTTCAGCGTTTTGGGTGCCGTGTTTTCATCTTCTCAGTGCTGAGGTGTGCTTCAAAGTTTTCAGGTGGTGCATAACTCACTGCAACAAACTCCAAATTCGGCATATTGTTCTGCATCTTGCAGTACAGGCGTTACAGCGGTGTCAACTCGGCGGATTCCTCGCAATAAATTCGACAATTTCATTCACCATGTCGAAACCTGAGGAGGTGGTCAACCAGGTCCCCGAAGATGAGGGCTCTGATATCGAGGCCGGCGGGCTCTTCGAAGACCCTCCTGACTTTTACCCTCCTTCGCCTCCCCCGACTACAGAGCACTACACCATGAAGAATGGCGACGACATTACCCTGCACCTCGTCGGCCACAGCCCTCTCGAGGCCCACACCCTATGGAACGGAGCCGTCATCATCTCACAGTACTTTGAGGATCACCCCGAGGAGGTCAAGGACCGTACTGTCCTGGAGATTGGCGCTGCTGCTGGTCTTCCCAGCTTGGTGGCTGCAGTGCTTGGAGCCAAAAAGGTTGTCGTGACCGACTTCCCGGATCCGGACATTGTGGACGTTATGTGGAAGAACATCCGTGGCTGCCCCATGTTGGCGGTTGACCGCGAGGAGGATCGCAACATTGTTGCCGACGGCTATGTATGGGGTGGCAAGGAGGCTCCCTTGCTGGCCCATTTGGGTGAACAGAAGGAAGGAGAGGCTGGGTTTGATGTGTTGATTTTGGCCGATCTTCTTTTCCGTCACTCGGAACACAGCAAGCTGGTCGACACCATCCAGTTTACACTGAAGAAGAAGCCCGGCAGCAAGGCGTTCGTTGTCTTTACCTCCTACCGCCCATGGCTTCAGCACAAGGATTTGGCTTTCTTCGATCTGGCCCGCGAGAGAGGCTTTATTGTGGACAAGTTCCTTGAAGTCAAGACCGAGAAGCCTTTGTTCGAGAACGACCCCGGTGATGAGGAGATTCGCAAGACCGTCACTGGCTGGACTGTGCGCTGGCCCACGGACGACGAGAAGACGGCGGCCAAGGCGGACGCATGAGCTCTATTCCCAAGCTGAGCGGAAGATGAGAGCATTACAAAACCGGTGATGAAAGAATCGACATCATTTCAATTACGATCTAGACAATGATACCCATATTGGCGGCCAGCCTGCCGAAAGGCAACTCACCTTGGACCAGTCCTTTTGCTCAACCGTTATTCGCTCTTGGTGAATTTTGACCTATCGCGGCTCAAGAGTCGCGTTGTATTTGCGACGCCGTAAGACGAGCAAGAAGGGGTGAAAAGATTCATGGCGGGAAAAGATATCACGTTGCCAAAACTGTAGGAAGAGGACTAACACGGCGAACCAGAGATTGCTTCATGCTCACTCCTCTAACGAGCCCTCTGTCATTCTTGACAGATGTTCAGGGACCTTGGACCACGAATCAGGTCAAGACAAGATATGAGGCTCGTGAAGTCAGTGAGACAAGCATATATTAGGTAAGAGGGGATTCACAGATGGGAAAGGGTAATTCGTCTTTTTTTTTTGTCTTTGTTGCCTGGTTGTGGTGACATTGGAATCAGCATTTTGACATTTGTCTCGCCAGCCGCCAACCTTCACTGCCCGCCCGTCAGGCACCGCTTACCCTGATCGAGACGTTGTGATGAACCCCTGTCATCCACTAGAATGGAAGCCCGGGGCTGTGCCCCCCATCGCCAGTGGCTTTACTAGTGTACGCAGTAACACTTGGGAATGCCTGCCACTTCTCCCACTTAGCTTCTGACGATGACGCGGCCTCCTTTTATATGTTCCTCTCTTCAACATTTACCACGCCCCCATCTATTTCTAGCATGAAAAATCTGCTAGGACTCCTACCCAGAGAAGTTTCTTCGGAAGCTAGCTTGTTTCATGCGCGATCGTCGAGGAAGGAAACTCCCGAAAGTGACACAGCATGCAGCCTCTCGAGCTTACCACCACCATCGCCACTCTACAGTATGAGCCCAACACGGCAGCGATGGACACTGCTTGAGGTGCAGCCAAGGGCTTGTACCACGGCACAAAGGCCCATCTTACTCGGTCTCGCCCACTCGGCTCTTCACTTTGCCCGGACTTCTCCATCATTTGCCCCGTTGGCACTGCGGATGGAACTGAAAGAGCCCTACATAGTACATCCATGTATAAGCAATTCCCGTCTGTGGCAGTCCACTACCGGTTGGGCCGTACGATCCAGACCAGTCAGCATGGCCTCTTCATCTCGAGTGGGACAGGACCTCTCGACTTTGGGGCACAGGGCAACACAGCCTCTCCATCAGTCCATTCATCTTACCAGGGCACTTCCCTTCAGCTGTCAAGTTTCTTCAGTCTGGACTCCCCC